ACATCCACCATCGACTATTCATCATCCGCCACCAACTGGCATTTCATCCACCTTGTAACCAAACCAACGTGTACACTTGCTGGAACGATTCATTTGAGAGAATCCTTATACACCATCTTGTAACCAAACTGTCGAGTACACATGATGTGAGGGAACTATCGTGTAACCAAACCACTTGATGTAAAATCATCCATATACACCATTTCGTACGTTGTCTCGTATACCACCACGTACACCAACCCGTACACCACTTCACCACGTACACCACTTCACCACTTCACCACGTACACCAACCCGTACACCACTTCACGTACACCACTTCACCACTTCACCACGTACACCAACCCGTACACCACTTCACGTACACCACTTCACCACGTACACCAACACGTACACCACTTCACGTACACCAACACGTACAGTACGTACACCAACAGGTACACCACAATGTACTTCACACTTTACATCGTATGTGTACACCGTATACCACTATACGTCACTCCGTAGCATGGGTATACTCGTACATTATAGGTGTGCTCTATACACCGCTTTGTCCACTGCACTATACGTTGCTCCGCGTACACTATGGTGTACACCACTCTAAGTATACCACTTTGAGCATTGATTTGTATATAACATCGAATCGTTTCCTCTGGATCTCTTCTATCGATATGTACACAACCATGACAACAAATTTGGAGAAACATTATATCCAACAAAATAGCCTCTAAAACCTCCCTGGCTGCTACACAACAAGAACAACAAATTCAATAGGAGAAAGCCAAAAAAATCCAAAACAATTAACTATAACAAGAAGATAATTAGAAATTTAGAATTATATGATGCAAATAAACACATGGCATAAAAAGAAAATAAAGAAATAGAATTTTCAAAAGCATCTATGTAAAACGCTATTATTAAACACATAATCAAGTTTTTTTATTTAAATAATTTAAAATTCCAGACACAATTCTCTAACCACAAAACTAATATCTTATCAATTTCAAGGTAAATCACCATACATGATGCAAAGAATCTCATAACTTTTAAACATGTAAGCAAAATTAAATTGATATGAAACGAGTCATTTAAAATTGAAATTCAATAAAGGAAGAGAAATAACC